GGAGGCTGAAAACAACGCGAAACCTTTCGTCGTGCTTTTTTCATCGCGCGAGGGGGTCTGGGTTTAGAGGGCGAGATTGAAGACGGGGACACACTGCCGTCACGGAGACGGAGATGGAAGCAAGCAGATCGCGCGACCTTCGGACTTCTCTCACGCGCCAAGGCGCCCAGGAACTCATGTCTGACACATCTGCCGCGCTCGGCGGCATGAGCGCGGTGGGAGAAGAAGAATACGCCGTGAGGCCGGGAGGTACACAAGCGACTCCATCCCGAAAAGGGCCCAAACCGTCAAACTTCCGTCGGGAACCGTACATGCTTAGTATATACGTCTTCTTGGTCTTCATGGCTACCAAGACGGCCCAAGGGACTCTCAAGACCTTCCCAAGACGGCCCAAGAACCCGCAAGTCGGCCCAATTCGCCGTGTGGCTGGCAGACATACGAGCACAGCCGGACTATTCTCGCAAGGAACGCCTGGTCAGGAACGGAGCCAAACCCCCTCGCGCTGTGAACAAAAAAACACCGCGGGAGGTACTTCGCTCGTTTCGGCCTCTGGGGGGGGGGGCCTCGCCTCGGACCACACCCCAGAACTAATTTCGAGCACCTGGAAAACTGTCGAAAGAGTGTCGGACGAGTGTCTCCCAGGGCCCGACGCGTAAAACCCTCGAGCCTCGGTACTCTTTTCTGGCGCTCGAACTTCCTTCTGGTGACCAAGGCCAAGGCAGGCTGGAACATCAGAAGCCTCGGGACCGTCCCAAAACGACTCGGGGCCCCGCTGCTCGTGCGAGCTCCCCGGCCCCGCCGAGGCCCCGGACGCACCTGGCCGAGAGAGAGCGGCGCGCCTCTGCCGCGGAGCGCCGGGCGCGGAACCGGGAACGCTGGGGTGAACGCTGTCGTGTTCGGCGTTGCCGCATTTGGGCGGAGGAGGAGGAGGAGGAGGAGGAGGAGGAGGAGGAGGAGGAGGAGGAGGAGGAGGAGGAAGAGGAGGAGGAGGAGGAGGGGGAGGAGGAGGGGGGGTGTCTGGCGCCGAACCTCTACTCTGCTCAACGCGACTGTTTGCAGCAGTGCGTCCTGTGGAGGAGACTCCACCTGCCCGAACACAGGCGCCAGAAGCAGCCAAGACCCACTGCACGGGGGCGAAGGGGGAGGGGGGGTGCGAGGGCCCGCGCCGATCGGCAAAACAGTGAATAGGACAACGAGAATGTCCCCCCCCGCGCCCGAATCTTCACTGCAAGGTCGATGAGAATACTGTGCCGCTCGGCTTCCGTCGGGAAAACTCTTGCCCAGCAAGGCGCGCCAGCGACCCTGGCGACACGCGAGGCCGCCCTGCGAGCGCACAGCGCTCCGCTCCGCCTTGCAAGGCTCGGGGCGTGGACACCGGGGGACCGGATCGAGATCAGTGTGCCGCGCCGCAGCGTGGCGCGTCAGAACTGGCGGCGTGACACGCTGAACAACAAGTCCCCGACGGTACTAGGGGGAACACAAACCTACCTCGCTTTTGACCACCCTCGCTTCCAAGAGATACCAAACGATGCCAAACTACACTGGTCAGGCCGCTTGACGGGGAGGCGCGTGGTATGACTTGGTTTTGCCTGGAAGCGAAAGCGTGGTAGGTAATTCACGCTCTGAGGTACACCGCTCAGCTACCCCGTCGTCTCCTACAAAACCACGACACCAGCTGCACGATGCGCCACCTTGAACCGCACGCACCGACTTCAGCTCGGCTGCTGATGTGGCTGTGTTCCACTCCCGCCTCCCGCATCTCGATGGCCAGCGCCAAAGCCAACTGCCACCGGTCGCCCTCCCTGCACCCGCTAGTCCCAGCGCTGGAGCTGTCTAGGGCTGATGTCGCAAAGCTCGATGAGCAGCGAGATCGCCCGCCGGCGCCGTCCACCTCACCTCCTTCACGCACGCTGACCGCACACACTGACCCCGTCGCTGCAGCCGACGACACCGAGCTCCAACTCCGCCATCTCCCACAGCAGCGACAGCCGTCGCTGACGTCTGTCCCCTTTCTCGCAGCTGGCCCCACGCTGTCACCGAGAGGGTCAAGATGCATTTGACTTCAACGCTCCCGAACCACTGTTAGATCGTGAAGCATGGCTTGAGCAGGGACCGACCGTCCCGGCATTCCGACAGGCCTACCACGAAATTTTATTAGAACCCAAAAACGTTCGAAGAACAAACACACGGTTCTTAGAACACAAAGCCGATGTGCTAAAACAAGACAGTCCCAACCGGAAATGTTCCAAGAACCGTTTTCATGGAAACCACAACAGGCCCTTGGAACATTGTTTGGTAGGCCTATAGGCGAGCCAAGACGGCTTCGCCACTGCTTGAGTGCTGGGCCATGCCGTGCCCCCAACACCGGCTCCGAACGCCAACTCCTGCGATCCCTTTGAGGCGTGGGGCCCTCTCTGGAGCGCCGCGTACGGCTACGCTTGGGTCGGGCATGTCCTCCTACAGGCGGCATCGGCACCACGACTTTGGAAGATTTGTTTGCCATTTTGGCGTATGTTTTGGATATCGTTTACTTCTCGCCCGAAATCCCCCTGTAGGAGGACACGCCCGACCTAATCCTGGCACTGCGGAGGAATGTTCTCAACGACGAGCGCACCGATCAGCCAGCCTCTCACATCTCACCCGGCAACTCGCGGTGCGACTCCCATCGCGCCGCCATCAGACTCGTGAGACTCTTGGCCGGCTCGGGCTGGAAGGAGGAGGAGGCGAAGGAGCGAGGAGGAGAGTCGGCAATGGGCGCTGTGCGGATATCCCCTGCGGCCAAACAGGCCACTTACCTGATGCAAAACCAAACTAATCTTAGGTCGGGCATGTCCCTCTACAGGGGAATTTTGAACGGAAAATTTGAAGATACCCCCAAACATACCCAAACATATTCAACAAATGCTCAACAAATGGTCCCCAGACAATTTTTGACCATTTTTGAATATTCCTCCTGTAAAGGGACAGGCCCGACTTAAAAGTAATTGCATCACGTTGGCTCCAACTTATCTTCCAACATCTCGCCGAACAACACCGACGCCTTCTCCCTTTGTTGAATCTCCGCGCGCGCGCTGCGCCAGGCAGCATGAGAGACGTGACAATTGAGCTGCACCTTCCCCTCACAATTCTCGCTCAACAGCGCCGAAACCACTGACACGGCTCGCCCAGCTCTCACGCGCCGCTGATCCCAACCTAACTTCCCACATGTCACCGAACAGCAACCAAGCACACTTATAATGTCCGCCGTCATGGCGCAAACTGACCCTAACGACGTAGATGATTAACGTGCTCGGGCAATCCACTCAACTTGAATATCGTCAAACTTCGAGGCCAACCGGTTTTCGTCAAACTCGGTCAATTGCGACTCGATTAATGAACTTTTGGTCCTTCCGCAAGTGTTTGTCAGACCTACTCGTCATGCGTGTGGGGAGTACGTCGTCAAGTTGCAATTTCGCATGCCAGCATACATCATTCAGCTTCTAATTCGTTGAGCTAGAACTACTGGCCAAGGGAAACCCGCTGCCAATGCCAAGACATTGCCTTGCTGGTGTTTGCTGAGCTCGATCACCTAGAGCATCGCTTGTCAGATCCCACATTGTGTTGAATGCGATGGCCACCTCGTTGTAGCAGAATGAAGTGACGGCCTTCGGTATCAACGCATTCCCTCCCACAACTCCCTGAACAATGACAACGCGTGCTGCGATTTACCACCTTGCTCGCACATGAAGATCGAGCCACTGTGCATCTCCACCTCTAGCTCCAACTGTGCCTTCCTCAGCCCGCACAACAAGGACAACGCCTGCTGCCACTGCCCGCCTCTCTCGCACGCGCTGATTCCGGCGCTGTAGTTGACGAGTGTGCCCCCTTGGAGCAAATCCGCAGGTGCTCTGACAGGGGAACGCGGCGGACCGCATTCCTCTGCCAGAGCACCTGCACTTGCGGCCTTGCCTTGTCTACGGCCCGCCTAGCCGTAGACGCGCGCCGGCGCGTCTGCGGCTAGGCGGGCCTCACCGCGATGCCTGTTGCCCACTTTGGTCGGCCCAGTAGAACGTCCCCCCCCCCCCATACTATGGCGAAGGCGACAGCAGCAGCGGCGGCGGCAGCGGCGGCGCCGATGGCGACGGCAACGGCAGCGGCGGCGGCGACGACGACGACGACGGCGACGGCGACAACGACGACGACGACGAGGACGACGACGACGACGGGGACGACGACGACGACGACGACGACGACGACGACGACGACGACGACGACGACGGGGACGACGACGACGACGACGACGACGACGACGACGACGACCACGACGACGACGACGACGACGACGACGACGACGACGACGACGACGACGACGACGACGTCCACGACGACGACGACGACGGGGACGACGACGTCCACGACGACGACGACGGCAGCGGCGGCGGCGGCGGCGACGACGACGGCGACGGCAAGCGGCCGCGGTGGCGAGGCGGCGGCGACGGCGGCGGCAGCCTCGAAGCGGTGAGGGAGGGGGCTCGAAGCGGGGTCGCTCCACGTGACTGGCCTGCGTGCATGTCGGGCCCTGCTGGTGACGGGCTGCCGGGCCCTGTCGGCTGCGCCGGGCTGCGGCTGCGGCTGCGGCGGCGGGGCCCGCTGCCCTGCGCGCCTGCCGGGAACTCCGGCCCAGCGGGGCCCTTCCCGCAACGCCCCCTTCTCGGCCCTCGATCGAGCGGCCGGGGGGGCCCGAAGCCGCTCCGGGAGGACCCGGAACCGCCCCCCAGCGGCACCCGGGAGGCCCAGGGGTTTATATAGCCCCAGGGGGCGCCGGAACCACGCGAGCGAGCAGGGCCGCACTTCCTCACACGGCTCGGACTTCCAGGCGCAAGGCTGGGAGGGCCCCGGGCCGCCCCGGGGGGACGTGCAAACCGCCTCGAGATGGCGTCCGGGAGGCTTCTTAGGACCGGCCTCTGGGCCATCTCGGGGCGTCTTGGGCCGTCTAGGGGCTCTCTGGAGCCGCATTGGGATCCTCTTCGGAGGCCTCTTGGCCTGGCCTGGGGCGATCTTGGGAGCTGTTGGGTCGTCTTGGACGCTGCAAGGGCCGAAACGCCGGGTATGCTCGAACTGTTTCTGTAGACACCCCTGCAGAAAACATGTGCTTCTTGCGCCGCAAAGCCCTGGCGGCGTCCTCTTGGAGCGCTCTGGGAGCCTTTCTTGAAGGTCTTGCGGCCCTCTGGAGGCCGTCTTGGGCTATCATCTTGGGCCCTCCGAGGCCGCCTGGGCGCCATCTTGGGGCATCTTGAGTAGGGGGGAAACAAACCTACCTCGCTTTTGACCACCCTCGCTTCCAAGAGATACCAAACGCTGCCAAACTGCAGCCTGGACTGGTCAGGCCGCTTGACGAGGAGGCGCGTGGTATGGCTTGGTTTTTCCTGGAAGCGAAAGCGGGGTAGGTAATTCACGCTCTGATTGAGGTCGTCCTCGGCCGTGTCGGAAGCACCTTCGTCGAACTCGGAGGCCCCTCGGGCTCGCCCGGGCCGTCCGGCCGGGCGGCGCAGGCCCCTCCCGGCAGGCCCTGCCGGCAGGCCCTGGCACCCGAGCAAGGAACCACGCGCTGCTCCCGGCAGTGCAGGGTAGATCTTCGACGAGTGTGCACCCGTGGGTTATGATGCATCCTCGAGGGGCACTGTTTGTCCCGCCGCGGGCCCCATCCGCGTCGAATCCGTACCGAAGCCACGTCGGACTCGTCGGACCCGCGTCGAAATCCGTGTCGAGTCCGCGTCGGATCCGCGCCAAATCCGCATCGAGCCCGCGTCCCGCCCAAGAAAAGACACCAATTTGGGGGACAGGCGAGCCCCCCCCGAAGATGCAACGTAACGAGGGGAGCATCCGCAGGCGACTTGCTCATCCAACTTGGCTTGACCAAGCGATGCCGAATGGAGCCTCGTGCTGCGCCCTCTGGTCTGTCTCGGGGCGCGCTTGGCTTTAAGTCGGGCGTGTCCCCCTACAGTCGGATGTTGGATGAACAAAATCAGATATACGTAGAACATGCACCACCAATGCGCAAATATAGTAAACACATCGTTCCCAGACCATTTTTTCTGCTGTTTGTGAATGTTTCCCCTGTAGAGGGACAGGCCCCACTTGAGCTTGCCTGGGCGGCGGCGCGTCCTGGGGCCACTCGCCTTCCCTGCGGCGCTCTGCGATGCCTCTTATAGGCTGTCTGTGGCACGGCCCGCGGAGGCGGCCGAACGCTTGCTCGCTGCGTGCTGCGTGCTGTGGCTGCGCTGCTTGCCGCCTCACTGGGCAGATGCTGCTGCCAGCTGGCTCTGCTCGCTGCCTGCTGCTTGCTGCCTGCTCCTGGCCGCCGTTGCCGGGTCGGCTGCTGCTGGGGAGCGCCTCGGGGCATGCCTCGGACCTCCTGGGGTACCCTGGGCAGCCGTGCGGTGTCGTGCAGCCTGGAGCCGCTTGAGCCGGATGAGGCATACTCGGACTGTGAGAGCCGTCTTTGGAAGAAGAAGAAGAAGAAGAAGAAATACCATAAACATCAACTTTTGGCGCTCCGCGTGGATTTCTTGGATCTGCGCCGGAGCGCGCCAGGGGCGGCGCCGGAGGCGCCCCTGGGGGGCTCATCGCGGATCCAAGAGATCCGCGCGGAGCGCCAAAAGCTCATGCCTATGGCGATGGTTCTTCCTTGAGCCTTGGCACGCGAGCCTGCGGGCCACTCTCGAGGCCTAGGAGGAGGAGGAGGAGGAGGAGGAGGAGGAGGAGGAGGAGGAGGAGGAGGAGGAGAGGACGGAGGAGAAGAGAAAGGAGGGAGGAGGAGGAGGAGGAGAGAGAGGAGGGGGGAGGAGGGGGAGGAAGGAGGAAGGAGGAGGAGAGGAGGAAGAGGAGGAGGAGGAGCAGGAGCCCTCGTGGGGCCCCATGGGGCCTAGCACTGGGGCGTCGGAACCACTGGGAGCCGGGCGGCCGCCAGGGGCAGGGCCCCGCGGCCAGATCGGGGCCATCTCGGGGCTGCCTCGGGGCCGTCCTCGCCATCGCTCGGACGTCCATTCCCTGTGTTCTTTTCGGTTTCGTGCGTGGTTTTTTCGCCAAATGATCAAGGATGCTCCTCGATGGCCCTCGCCGAAGGAAAAATGCACACGTCCGAGCGATGCCAGGTCTGTGGGCCACCTTCAGAGCCAGCCAGGGCCATGCTGGGCCATGCTGCGGGCCGCTTGGTCGCTTCGAGGGGCCTCCGTGGGCTGCTTGGGGTCTCTCGGAGGCCTCTGGGTTGCGCTGCGAGGCTTCCTCTGGCCGAGGACTGCCACATGCAAGCCATGCGAGAGCACGCACACCTGGTCGACGTCCCTTGCCCTTCGGAAGCCCTGGCGGGTGCCCTCTTGGTACCTCCAGGGGCACCTGTAAGAGGCACATTGGGGCCGTCTGGGTCTCTTGGGCTGCCTGAGTCTCACCATGGGGGGGAAACGGGTCCTGAGGGAAGCGGGTCCTGCACCCTGGGGCCTTCTCTCAGGACGACTTCTTCGTCCTGAGTCGTTTGAGGAGGAGGAGGAGGAGGAGGAGGAGGAGGAGGAGGAGGAGGAGGAGGAGGAGGTGGAGGAGGAGGAGGTGGAGGAGGGAGGAGGAGGAGGAGGGAAGCGGGTCCTGCACCCTGAGGCCTTCCCTCAGGACCACTTCTTCGTCCTGCGTCGTTGTCTGACAAGTGTCCCGGAGCCCGTGGAGGGCCCCGAGAGCCCACAAGCGGCGCAGAAGCCCAGGACCCCGCCTCCCCTCGGGGGGGGGGGGGGGCTTCCTGACCCGGGCCAGTGCACACCCGGGCTTTGTGGGCCCCGGAAACGGCAGGGCCGTTTTTTCACCGTTTCCCCAAAAATGTCCCTTGAAAACGGAAACGGCCGACCGGAAACGGCAAAGAATCGGCTCCAGGATTGGAACGGGAGCCGGGACCGGTCAAAAAACGGCGACGGAACCGGTGAAAAAAACGGCGTCGGAACCACCAAAAAAACGGCAAAACGGAACCGGTAACAAAACGGCCCTGTCGTTTCCGGGGCCCACTAAGCACCCAGGTCAGGCAGGATGCTGCAAGACCCTGCAGGATCTGGCAGGATCCTGCGCCCAAGCCCGGGTCAGTGCACCCCTGGCCCTGCAGGATCCTGCAGGATCCGGCGCTCTGACTTCGGGGGCGCGCACACATGGAGTAGCGATCCATGGATTTGGTCCTCGATCGCCGAATCCATGGATCGGGGGAGGTGCCCTCCCCAAAATAAGGCCCGCAACGCCTCTCGCGGCGGCGGAAACCCGCGGTTTCAAATAGAAACGGGACCCGTCGCTAATTCACGCCCCCTTGATCCATGTTTGCGATCGCCTGATGACTGACCCTCGTTTGCCTTGACCCCCGTCGCTTGAGCCCCGCCTCCCCACGCGGCGAGCGTCGCCGTGGCAGAGCAGCAGCGGCAGGCGAAACATTGGGTTAACAAGCGCGTTCCACTACTCGCAGAGTAACTATTCGCAAATGGCCTGGCTCCGCCGCGGGGGATTTACGATATGTTACACAAAGTCTGACGTATGGTTCTTCGGACGTTTGCGAGTAGGCACTCTGCGAGTAGTAGACCAGCCCGGGCCCTTCCGCCACGGGCGGTCTCGCACTGCGCTGCTGCCGGAATTTGTGCAGTCGACCCACACCATTAAGATCGCATCGCGCTCGGCGATCAGGGAACCCTGATAGGGGCCGCACCAAAGGTCACTCCGGCGAAGGGTCGCTCTTAAGTGTAGTGTTATGCTGCCCCCATCGTACTTAAGGACCACATCCCACAGATCGAGCGCCCAGAAAGGTGTCGAAACAATGTCGAACGAATATCGCCTCCCAGGGCCCGACACGTGAAAGCCCTGTCGGTACTTTCCTGGTGCTCGAAATTCTTTCTGGTGGTCAAGAAGAAAGCTGGTTGGAACATCATACGTGTAGTGGAAGGCAGCCCTCCTCATTTCCCCCGCGCCGCGCGTCGGCGCCAGAGGCGTCTCGCCCAGGGGTGGCGGGGAGGGGGAGGGGGTCTGGCGCAAGCCCAGGAGATCCGCATGGAGGACCTCTGAAAATCCCACCAGCCCTCTGGGCGTACGGCAACCCGTACAACAGGGACGCACGGTAAGGACGCACGAGCCTTGGAAGGCCAGGGCGACACCGTGCGAGCGTGGCGCGGCCAGCGAAAGCGGCCAAGGATGGGCCGAAGGGGCAAGGATGCAAGGGTACCCTTGGTAGGGTTGCCCATCCTTGCTATGCGGGTTGACTGTGTCGTAAGATCGTTCGGTAAGCTTGCAAGGGCCTTGGAAGGCCATGTCGACACCTTGCAAGCGTGGCGCGGCCAAGCATGGGCCGAAGGGAAAGGATGCAGGGGTAACGTCGGAAAGTTGCTCTTCCTTACCATGCGGGTAGACTGTAGAGCGGGTACATGAGATCTGGCTCCAGATTCGCTCCCCGCATCTCGCTGAGCAGAGCCAAAGCACGCTGCCACTGCTCGCCCTTTTCACACGCGCTGATTCCGGCGCTGTAATTGACTAGGGCTGACCCGTGGACTACCGTCCACGAGATCGCACTCGCATGCAAAAATTAGGATCAAGGCGCATGCGCGTGGCAAAGCTCATGATCTAAGAGAGCAACGTTGATCGCTACATGGCGCGGCAAACATAGCGAATCATGGCACAACAAAACGTCCGAGACGACAAACCTCTTCGCGACAAAACACTGTGCAGGGAGCGCGCTAGGACGCTCTCGACAAGCTCCGACTGGCGGCGGCGTTCGAGTAGGCCAGCCCAGATGGGCAATCGATCAGACCTTCGACATGCCGGCAAATCGCAGAGTCCAATCGGACCCAATCAAAGCCAACCATGAAGGCAACGATCAACCGATAAAGCGAAGACTTCGCATACGAACTTGTCCAGCAAAATAGATGAAGAGATGCCGCTGAGCTACTAAGATACCGCTCAGCTCCCAAGTCGTTGAGCAGCAGTAGCAAGGGCATGCCACGCTCGCTCTTATCGCACGCGCCGAGTCCAACTGCGTAGCTGATCAGGTTTTCTTGTAGATGCAACTCAGGGGTAGCAAATGGCACAATCATTATTAGGGCCGCCTTGGGCTGTCAAGACGAGGAGGCCCGAGACATTTCAAAGATAAGGTTTTCGATGCGTGTGTGGCCGTCTTGGGGCTGAAAAAATGGGGAGGCCGTCTTAGGCCTCTTCTGGGCCGTATTCGGGGCACCTTGGAGCCACCTGGGGCTGCTCTGAAGCGCTTCGAAGTCCTTTGGCCACTTGGGGCTGTCTGGCACTGGCTTTGGGGTCTCCGCTGGGGACCCTGTTGGGTCGTCTCGGGGCCGTCTCAAGGCAGTCTGGGGATACCCTGGACGCTGCTTAGGCTCTCTGAACCCCTCCTGGTGCCGACTCGCCAGCTGTCTTGGACCCATCGTTGGAGGTCTCTCGGCGGGCTCTAGCCAAGACGTCCCAGCCCCATAGCACCCTGCTCTAGCACGCACTGCGTCAGATCATGGATGCGGTCAGGCTTCAGTGTCGCCTCCCACACCTCGATCAGGGCCATCTTGGGCCGTCTTGGCGTCCCCTCAGGGCCGTCTTGGGCAAACTCAGGCTTCCCCTGGGTCATCGTCGGGGCCTCCGGGGGCATTCCTGGCGCCGACTTGGGCCATTTGGAGGCTTCCTGCGTCACTCTGGGGCACGCTTACGCCGTCTTGGAATCTTTCTGGGTCAGTCTGGAGCCCACTAGCTCTCTTGGACAACTTTGAAGATGCGCGAAGCTCACCTGAAGCTATTTATCTGGGGCCTCTCTTGGCGCCTCTGTGGTCCTCTCTTGGCCTGCTGTGCACCCTGCAACGCCTCTTAGTGCCTCTGCGACCGTGTTCTGGCCGTCTGGGGATTTCTGAAGCCGTTTCCGAGGCCTTCTTGAGGCGCGCGGGGCCAATGTGGAGGGTCTGGCCCCGCTGACCCGTTTGCCAAACTGCCACAATGCGCCTTTCTCGCACGCGCTGGTTCCGGCATTGTAGAAGAGACTATGGGTGACCCGCGGACTCCGTTCACGACATCTTTCTGGAATTGTTCTCCGACGCGGAGATTTTGCCGAAAACCTATAAGTTCGGCCGCAGCCCGGGCGGCGGCAGCGAGACCGCGCCTCCGTGTCCGAGCTCTTGCAGCGATCCAGCAGCTTGGCCCCGGCGCACGGTTCGCTGGCCCCCCTCCTATTGGGGGCAGTTTTCAAATCTCTCGGGCGTGTGCGTCAACGTCGAAGCCTATCTGAGGCGTCTCAGGGGCGCCAGGGGAAGGGCTCGGGAGGCTCTCGAGGAAAGCCACCAGGAGCGCAAGGAAGGCTCGCAAAGATCTCCAAGGAGGGCCCAAGAGAGCTTCAAGAAAGTGTGACTTTCAAACAGATCTTAACAGAACCCGCTGTTGGGTCGGACCTGCTCCGCTACGTTGGGGAGGCCGTTTTGTTGGAATTATGTTGCAACGGCTCCTCTCTTGGAGGCAGTTTTGAAGCCTCTTTAGGCCTTCTGGGGGGTCGAGGGCCTCTCGTGTCCTCTTTTGGGCCTCTTCGGGACCTTCTGGGACCCTCTCGGGCCGTCTGGGGGCAACGTTCAGAGTTCCGCACGTCATCTGGACCCTCATGAGGCTCTCGTCTGGGCCTTTTCGGGTTTGCTCCTCCTCCTCCTCCTCCTCCTCCTTCTTGCTTCGATCCTGCATGCCCTGGATCTTGGCTCGTCAATCGTGGACCCTCGGAGAATCGAAAACGGCTGTTGGGGCCTGCGTTCTGCCTCTCACCTCTCGTCTGCCCCCTCTCTGTTGGAAAGAATAATGTGTGTAGGCACTTAAGGCCTCTTGGGGGCCGTGTGGGGCTTCTTTTCGGCTTCGGGGGTGCCTCTTGAGGCCGTCTTGGGCTGTCGTCGGTGCCGTCTGGGCCGTCTCAGAACCGTCTTGGGCGGTCTTGGGCGCCTCTTGGGCCGTCTGGGGACCGATTTGGACCGTCTTGGGCGGCTCTTGGGGCTGTCTTGGGTGCCTTCGGCGCAGTCTTGGGGCAATCGTGTGCCGTCGTTGGCGCCTGTTGGGCAATCTTGGGCGCCGTTTTTGGCCCGTCGTGAGCCCGTGTCTGGGCTCTGATTGGGGCATCTGATGCCGATCTTGGGAGGTTCTGTGGCCGTCGTGGGCGCGTCGGAGACGAAACGCATGAGTATGCCAAACATGCCAGTCTTCCGATGGGAATGGGGCGATTGTTGCGTCTCGGGGCTGTCCCGAGGAATCCTCGAAGGCTGTCTTTGGATGCTCCAGGCCTGCCCTGGGGGTCCTTGGGTCCGTCGTGGCGGCCATTTGAGCGGCTCGGAACCGTCTTGGGGCCCTCTCGAGCGGTTCAGGGCCGTCTTTGGGCCGTCGGGGCGGCCTCTGGAGCGTCTTGGAGCCGTCGTGGGGCTGTCGGGGCGCTCTCTTCAGCGGCTCGGAGCCGCCCGAGAGCACTCGTGGGGGCCCTCTGGGGCTCTCGTCGGTGCCGTTTGGGCCGTCTGGGGGCAGTCGTGGACCGTCCTGGGCCCTTTTCTGACGATCTTGGGAGACAGTATTGTCGTATTGGGCGCTTTGAAAACGAAAAGCACCGGAATTGCCAAAAGGCATGTTTCCTCGTTCGGGCTCTCTCGGGGCTCTTCTTGGAGCCCAGTTGGAGCAATTTGGGCGCCTCTTGGGCCGTCTGGAGGCCATCTTGGGCGTCTTCGAGCGCTCTTGGGCCATCTCGGAGGCCCTCTTGGACCGTCTCCAGGCGTCTTGAGGCCCTCTCGGGGAGTGCCGAGAGGGTCTCGGAGCGCTCTTGGGCCTTCCTGGAAGCGAGCCGAGGCCAGCTGGGGCTCGCGGGGGCCCGCAGGGGGCGCCGGAGGAATGTGTCCGATCCCCTGCCCTTCTCGCACGCGCGGAGCCCTGCAATGTAGTGGAGACGAGGGTTGACCCGTGGACTGCCGTCATCGAGGTGGCACCCGCATGCAGACATGAGGACTGCAGCGCACACGCGCGGCACAGCTTCTGTTCTTCTAACAGAGCAGCGTTGATCGCGGCACGGCACGCAACACACAGCGAATCATGGCGCAACACAGCATCAGAGACGATAGCTCTGTTCGCGATAAGGCACTGTGGAGGCAGCGCGCTTGGACGCTCTCGACACGCTCCGACTGGCGGCGGAGTTCGCGTGGGCCTGCGAGGACGGGCAGTCGATCGGACCTTTGGCATGCCGACAACTTGTTGCGTCCGATCGGACCCAACCAAGGCACACCATCACGGCAATGACGCGCTTTTTGAAGCGAGGGCTTCGCATACAAACTTGCCATGCAAAGTAAACGAGAAGTTTCTGGTCATCGACCAAGATGCCAGTCTACGACCAAGTCGCTGAGCAACAACAGCACGTGCATGCAACGCTGGCGTTTGTCGCACGTGCAGAGTCCAGCTTCGTAGCTGAGTCGGGGGTCTGAAACATGAAACTCACGGTCAGCAGATGGCACAATCGTTATTCTGGCCATCTTGGGCCGGGAAGACGAGGAGACTCCAAACATTGCAAATGTAAGGTTTTCGGTGCGTATGGCCGTCTTGGGGCTGACAAGCCGTATAGGCCGTCTCAGCCCTCTTCTGGGCCGTACTGGGCGCTGGGGATGCCCTGAAGCGCCTCGAAGCTCCTGGGCCACTTGGGGCTGTCCGGCGCTGGTTCGGGCTCTCTCCCCCAGAGACCCTGTGGGGTCGCCTCGGGGCCGTTTTGGGTGTTGCTCTGGGGCTAGACTGGACGCTTCTTGGGCTCTCTGAGCCCGTCCCGGTGCCAACTTGCTGGCCCCCTTCGGCAGCTCTTTGGGGGCCTCCGAGCTGCCCGCGCAGCCCAGCCCCGCAGCAGCCCCTGCCCTCGCACGAGCGCGCGGGCGCGGGCCCCGCCGTCACAGCCCCACACGACCTGCCCTCGCACGCACTGCACCAGCACAGGGGTGTGTTGGCGGTGCGCGCAAGGGGGCGGAGGGAGGGGGGGGGGCGGGGGGGGGCTTCTTGGAGGGAGGCTGCTCCTCAGAAGGCGTCGGCCTTGCATCTACAGAGGAGGCCCGCGCCTTCAGAGAAGCAGGCAGGGGTGCTGCCAAGAAGCCCTCCCCCCTCCCCCCCCCTTCTGCGCGTGGCCGAGTGTGGTCGGGCTCAAGTCTCGCCTCCCGCATCTTGCTTGGGACCCTCGTGGGCCGCCTCGACGCCCTCCCGAGGCCGTCTGTGGGTCAGCTCAGGCCTCCCCTGGGTCGCCGACGGGACATCTGGGGTCCCTCACGCTGCAGCACCGAATCCCTCGGGGGATCTCTGAAGCCGTCTCTGGGGCCTTCTTGGGGCATTCGGGGCCCGTCCTGGGAGTCTCCACGGGTGGTCTGGCCCCGCTAGCCCTTCTGCCAGGCTCCCACAATGCGCCGTTCTCGCACGCATTGGTTCTTGCATGGTGGAAGAGATGAAGTCTGGCTCCAACGTCGCCTCACACATCTCGCTGAGCAGCGCCACAGCCCGCTGCCATTGCCTGCCGATGCTACACGCGCTTATTCCAGCACTGTAGCAGACGACGTCGGGTACAATTTTGGCGTTCCACATCTCGTTGAGTAGCGCCACGGCCTGCTCCCACTGCTGACCCTTCTCGCACGCGCTAATCCCGGCGCTATAGCTGACTAGGGCGAACCCGTGGACTTCGTCCACGTCATCTTGAGCCAATCTTGGCTCGAAAAGGTCGTATTGGGCCTGTCTTCGCTCGAAATGGCGAGAAGGTGGAAATCTTTCAGAAACCATGGAAGAATCGCGGCTCGTCTCGACCGTCTTCGAGCGGTCTTGGGCCGGCTCGGAGGCCCTCTTGGACCGCTTCCTTCTCTTCGTCCGCCTTCCGCTCTACCTCCGCCTAAACAGCCTTCGGAGCGTTACAGACGGCTATGGTGGGTCTGCGGTGTACGTCTCGCCGCTTGTTAATTTTGAAAGCACCCGGGGCCTTGAACAAAGTCACCCGGAGGGCTGTGGTGACTTTTTTCCGATTGCCTCTTCGAAGCCTGATGGCGGGCGCTGCCGTCTCCTTGGGAACGGTTTGTAGGCCTCTCGGGTTTCTTTTCGAGCTCCTGGGGGCCTGTTGGGGCCTCGTTGGCTGTCTTGCGGCCTCCTACGGGCCTCTTGGGGCCCTCTTGGGCCGTCTTGCGGCCTCCTGGGGGCCTTTTCTCTAGAATCTGTTTTGGGTGCCTCTGGGGCCGTTCCCGGGCTGTCCCCCCGAGCCTCTTCGGGGGGACAGCCCAGGCAATCTATTGTGCTTGCGTACTGTGCGTGCGTGCTCCTGTGTGAGGTCGGAAGGGTGTCCCGACGTCACCGCTCGCTCTTGGGAGCTGTGCCTGGGAGAGCTCTCTACGCTGCGTCTCGCTCTTGGGAGCCTTGGTAAGAAGAGCTTCGCACTTCACCGATCGCTCTTTTAGTGGGCGTCTCTAGGCCTGCTTGGTGGTCCTTGTGGGGGTCTTTTCGGACCATTCTGAAGCTTTTTTCGGCTGCTCTGGGAGCGTTTTGGGACGTTTGGGGGCCTTTTTGTGCCGTCACGTGGCGTCCGGGAGGCCTTGGACCGTCTTGGAGCTCTCGTGAGGCTGCCTGAGGCCGTCTTGGGAGCCCCCTGGGGCCGTCTTGGGGTTCTGTGAGGCCGTTTCAGGGCTCTCTGGCGTAGTCTTGGGGCTCTTGTGGGCCGTCTTGGAGCCCTCTTACGTGCCGCTGGCGTCCTCTTGGGGCGATTTGGAAGGCCTCTTGGCGTGTCCTGGGCCGCTGAGGAGCACACAAGGCGGGCATGCTGAACGTATACGTTTTCCGATCGGAATTTAACGATTTGTGCCTCTTTGGCGTGCGCTCGGGGCCCTCTTGGGGCGTCTTTGCGGCCTCTTGGATCGTCGTGGAGCCCACCCTGGAAAGCTTCAGGCCCTCGTGGGCCGTCTCGGGACCCACCGAGGCCGTCTTGGAGCGCTCTTGACGGTCTGGGACCCCTCTGGAGCGCCTCTGGGACGGGCCTGAGCGATTCGGCCCCGTGGTGGCGCCGTAAAAGGGGCGACTTTGTGCACACGAGGCGTGAACCATTCTCGCACGCGCTCCTCTTGGCCATGTAGGAGAGACAAGGGCTGACCCGTGGACCTATGCTCACGTAGTCATCACGAACTGGCATCTGATTGTGGACATGCCGCTTGAAGGCTGAACTGAAAACGTGGGGCTCGACCCTTGCATTGCGTGCGTGCTACCGCCGTTTGCGAAATAAACGCCCACGTGTGGAAGTACCGAGAGCCCCGCCCCGCGCCCCGTATTTCAATGTTGGCCACCAAACACGCCGAAGGGGAATGCGAAGCATTGCGAAATAAACGCCCACTTATGTTGGACTGCCCAGCCCTCCCCGTCAACCTTGAAATACGGGGGAAAGGGGGCGTGCTTCGTCGTCTTGCTTTCGATCCCTAAGATGGGCGTTCATTTCGCAAACGGCGGTGCTGCGCACTGCTGCTTGCTGCCGTAGATGCTTGCCGTGGCTGCGAGTCGTTGCTGCTCGTGGGTGTGGGGTGCTGCTGATGGCCAACTCTGTTTGGTGCGTGCTGCTGCCCGATGCCTTCTGCTGTGTGCTGTGTGCTGTGTGCGGTGTGCTGCCGTTGCTGCTGCCCGATTCGTGCTGCTGCCGTTCGCTGATGTTGCTTGCTACTGCAGGCTGCTTTTCTTCGAAGCTTCCCATAGTCTCTCCTGGGCGTCCTGATCTGGGCGTTTCCGTGCGAGTTCGGGGGGCGCTTTGGGACTTTGGGGCTGGCCCTGGGCAGCAGCGGGGCTGCCCTGAGGCCACAATGGGGGCTGGCCGAACAAAGCAAGGGCATCTGGGCGGCCTCGTGAACCGTGCCGGGGGGGAGGCGGCGCAGAACGATCCGCGAGGAGCGGCCAGGGAGGAGCCATGAGGGGAGGAGGAGCGGCCGAGGAGAGGAGGAGGCGCAGCGCACCGAGGAGGGCGGGCCGAAGCCTGTCCGGGCATGCGGAGTGCTGGCGCCCGTGGCGCCCACCGCTCGAGGCGGGAGGTGCCGCAGGTGCACGGCAGGCGTGGCGAACGCCTCCCCGCTGGCGCGGCCCGAGAGGAGCCCAGGCTGCAGAGCCGAAGCGGGATGCGGTGATAAGATCGAGACTCCCCCCGTCTGCCCACTCGTGCAAAGAGGCACGTCGTTCACTTCTAATCGCACTCGTTTCTAATTGTGCTCCTTTCTGATTGTTCATGGCCCCCTATGTGGCCAGGAAGAGGCCCAGGATCGAACAATTAGAAAGGATCTTGGCCCCCCCAAAAAATCAAAGAACTCTCGAAGACTTAGAGATGACCAGTGTGTAGGCAAGCCCTGGCGCGAAACGCGCTTTTTGGCGCGCACGCCACGGAGACCCCTGAAAAGAGCAGGGCGCCACCTTGGGCCCCCTCCCCCCTCTGGGTGGCCCAGGGCCAGGTATAAATCGGGCCTGTCCCTCTACAGGGGGAATTTTCAAAAATGGTCAAACAATAATGCGTGGACGGTGTTATTACTTCCTGCTTTCTGTTATTTTACCGTTTTCTGTTTCTGATAAGAATAAGAAATAAACAAATCGCCAAATTATCAGCCTGTAGGGGGACATGCCCGACCTAATGCCAGGTCTACGGAACATGTCGCCAGGTTTTCTCGCAGGGCACGGAAGACAGAATGGAGGAGGCTAACGCTGGTGCGCCAGCAGTGAGCAGCAAGGTCGCGCTTGAAGGTCTGCCTGGAGAAAGGCCCCAGAAAAACAATCGTGTGGAAGCCCTATTGGTGGAGTTCGTTCCAGGCGGACTGTGCTCGTTGCAGCCTGTCGAAAAGAAGGGTTTGGACTGTTCGTGGATGCTGCGCAGCGTGAGCGCGAGGCTGGAGGCGCGCTGTCACAGCGCAGTGATGCTGGCGGCGAGCGCGTCTTCGCGACCCCGGCGGGGCCGTGATGCTGGCGCCGCGTGAAGGCGCGTCTCCGATCGGCACGCCGCTCTGGAACCGCCCGGGCGCCTGCGCCCCTGGTGGGTGGCACCAAGGCCCCCGTCTCCCCGCTCACTCGTGGGGCGGAGGATTAAGCCCGCTGGCAGGAAGCAGGGCGTTTTGGGGGGCTGGGTGTGCGACGGCTCTGGCCACGCCCAGCGGTCTTGGGCGACGGAGCTCGCCCTCGGGGCGCGGGCCGCGGCCCCTCGCGCACCCAGGCGCAGCTCCTCTCCCAGGTTGGCTGGCGTCGCTGCCACGGTTCTGCTCCGGGGCATGGCTGGCCGTGTCCGGGACACCAGTAGGGGCTCGGCTGCCGCCCGTGTGGTCCGCCCCGGCGCTGTCCTGCGCGGGTCGCAGCGAAGTGCCCGAGGTGGGGTCCTGGCGGACCTTGGCCTCCTGGGCCGCTGTGCTTGCATGCCTGTCTGGACGTGGAGGTGGGGCGTCGTCGTTCGCGCCGCGGCCCTCGCTGTCGCGGTCTGTTCGTGTGGGCGAGGAGTGTCGTCGTCGTCGTCGTCGTCGTCGTCGTCGTCGTCGTCGTCGTCGTCGTCGTCGTCGTCGTCGTCGTCGAAGGTGCCCCCACTTACGTAGGCCAAGTGGGGGCTCCTCGTCGACTTCGGGGCTGTTGGGAGGAATGCCCCATGAATCGCCAAGTTCATCGTAGTGTTAGGTCGGGCCTGTCCCCCCATAAAGGGGGATTTTGGGCGAAAAGTTACAAATACCCCAAACATGCCCCGAAAGAGTCGAAACATTATCGACTAAATCGTCCCCAGACTATCTTTTTGGAATTCTGTTTTGAACTACTCCCCCCTGTAGAGGGACCGGCCCGACTCGACATCGTGGTGCCCTGGCCGTGGTGGGCATCGGGCATGTGGGGCGGGTCACCGGGCGGGCCCGGCGGCTCGTCCCCGCCGACCGCCCCCAGCGGGCGGGCTGCACCTCATCCCGTGGCGTGCCCGCCCGGGGCGTCCAGCTCGCCCGTCGAGGAGCGGGAGGAGGAGGAGGAGGAGGAGGAGGAGGAGGAGGAGGAGGAGGAGGAGGAGGAGGAGGAGGAGGAGGAGGAGGAGGAGGAGGAGGAGGGGGGAGGAGGAGGAGGAGGAGGAGGAGGAGGGAGGAGGAGGAGGGGGAGGAGGAGGAGGAGGGGGAGGGAGCGCGGCGGCCGCAGGCACACGGCTCGGGCTGACCCAGAAGGGCGTCCAGCGACAAGGGGGCGCTGCAGTAGATCTGGTGCAATTGCTTTATGTCGGGCGTGTCCCCCTACAGAGGGATTTTCGACGAAAAATAAGATACACCAAAAACGCACCAAAAAGGTTAAACCACAATCAAAAATAATCCCCTGACTATTTTTGGACTATGTTTTGATTATTTTTGGGTGTTGTATAATTTTCGTCGAAAATCCCCCTGCAGGGGGACAGGCCCGACTTGACAATAGCTTCGTGGGGTTGCAACACATTTGGGGACACTCCGGGGCGCAAGTATGTTGCTGGATTCTCGCGTGCAATATACGACTTGCAATACAATGCAGTCCAATTCTCAGGCGCAGTGAACTTGCAATCACTTGCCCCAACTATATTGCACCACCCCCTTTCGGCTGGACCCCCTTCTGGGTCACCCAAAATATCGCGACCGCAATACTGCGGAGGACAGCCGCGAAATTGCGTCGCCCCTTGGCAGGG